GAGCCCAGGACGCCAGCACCCCCATCTCACCTGCACCCCCCACTTGCGGGGGGTACACTCTGCCTCACAGCGTGTGGCAGCTCTAGGTCAAGACCCGAGCCCAGCCCTTCAGAGAGGTCTTCAGCCACCTGTGCTCCCCGGGAGCAGAGGGGCCTCGGCCGCTCACCCTCTCTGGGCCCCGAGTTCTCACCCCACAGACGGCCAGGACGAGGTCGACATGCCAGGCACATTGCCAGGGCACAGGAGGCCACACACAGGGAGCTCCTTCCACCAAAGGCCCGACAAAACCTGGCTGGAAAAAAGCAGCCAGGTGGGTGGTGACAGCCGCCTGGGGCCTGCAGGAAACGGCTTCCCAGCCAGAGAATCCCAAACATGACTGGGGCAGGCACACCTGAGACACTGTCAGCCTGGTGAGCCTGAACCTCGGGGACCCAGGTGCCTGCACCACCCGGTCCCCGGAAGGTGCTCGGGGAGCCAGCCAGGCGCAGGTGTGAACGCTGGTCACGGTCACCAGGGAAGCTGGGCCCTTCCCCCTGCAAACGCATGGCCAGGCCCGTCCGCGGGCTCTCCCGCGCCTCCCGTGACCAAAGGACAGCACAGTGGGAGCCCCAGTTTCTTGTCTGCGTTGATCCCACCTCACTGGGAACCCCAGGTAGGTGTGGCCCCATCAGCAACTCCAGGCCTGTGACACACAGAGATGAGGGTGGGCAGAGTGGGTGGTGGGCCCTAGCCCCCCAGCCTCGAGCAGGCTGCACACGAGCCCGACGGGGCAGGGCAGGAGGTGCGTCTCCCCCTTCACAGACCAGGACAGGAGGCTGGAAGAGGCTGGACCCGGCTACGACCCCACTGCTCCCCGCAGTGCACAGCCGGCCCCGTGCTGATCGCAAGGGCAGGAGCCTGAGGGAGGAATGACCTCATTTCCCCGTCTACCACCTCGGGTGGGGCAGGCTGGGCGCTGCGCTCTGCTGGCCCAGGAAGGGGTCCCTCTGGGTGGCCAAGGTGGAAAGCCACGGGGCAGGGCGGCAGGGTTGGCTGGCTCCTCCCACGGCCCTTGGGGGCAGGGGGAGGGTTCTCAGAGCGCCTGTCCAGCCCAGGAGCCGAGGGACCACAGGCCAGGCGAGCTGCCCGGGGCCCTGTACTGTGACCCAGGACCGTAGGGCCTCCCTACTCATTCCCTCTCCTGAAAGATGAGGGGCTTGAGGAGGTGAAGCGGCCGGAAGGTGAGCCCCAGCCTGTCAGGGTGGAGCCTGGTCCCTGGTCCCCACCGCTGGGTCTCTTCACTGCACCACAGACAGCCCAGCCCTCCCAGGGGTCAGCACCCATGCAGGCCCTGGGCCACTGCACAAGGCCCACGTGGGGATGGGGACGGGGCTGGGACTTGGCCCTGGGTCGACCAAGCTGGGCAGCCAGGCATCTGATCACGTGCCCAGCCCCTTCCTGGTAAACCACGGCCCATGGCCAACCCGAGGCTTCCGGGAGCCTCCAGGCCACCCTGCCGAGGACACACACCTGCCAGCGCAGCAGGCTTCTCCGGGGGGCCTGTGACAGCACGTTTAACAAGGCAGGGGTCCGCAGAGCCCAGGCCCCACGTGACCTGTGCCCTCCATCGGGGATTTCAAACAGCAGGTCAGTGGTGACCACGAGGAGTGCGGCTCAAAGTCCTTCTGCAAATAACCCTGAAAACTAAACGTAATACGCTCTCTCCTGCAGAAGGTCAAGCTCGGGTTCTTCTGAAAAGGCATTTACTTACTTGAAAATCTCTTTCTTCCAGAATTTCCTTCCTCCATCTCACGAGGAAAGCAGCGCAGACGTACAAGTGGAAATGCGCGAAGCCCTCGGGTTCCGACTGCAAGAGAGAACACGACGGAGAGTGAGAGCGCGGCCGGCCAGGCAGGGCTCCGGGAGCACCGAGCGGCCGGCTCCCACCCAGGGCCTTCCTTTCAAGTCCTCGGATCATGGCAGTAAGCACGAGCTTCTCTCTAAGTCCGGCAGCATGACACGTGGAGCGTGCACGGCACACCTGCTGTCCACCTGCTTCTCCTGCCCGGGTGCGAGCAGCGGCGATAGAAGCCGAACCCAAGGGGCGCCATCCTACGCTGCCCCGTGGTGGGGGCACTTTCCCAGAGAGGCCACGGAGGCTGAGTCACCCGCCCCCGAGCAGGAGGAAAGGGGCCAAGCAGGGCAGACGCCCAGTCTGGGTCCAGCCCATGTGGTCCTGGGCACCAGGAGACGCTGCCGACCCTGAAGCGGCCGGGGGAACAAGATGCTGCGTGTCCCTGCCCGCCTCCTCGGGCACAGATCACCAGTGGGTTCCGCTCGCCCTCCCGGGGCTCACGTCCCCTGTCTTCAGGAGCCCCTGCACCTCCATGGCAGCTGCCCAAGTTCAAGCGCACAACACCCACACTGAGACCGCTCTCGTCTGTGCCACACCTGCACAACCAGTGGCAACAGTTTAGTAGGTAAAAATATAAAACAGATGCCGTGTAAGAGGATGTCATGCCCCAGGGAAAAATAAGGTGAGGAAGGCGGATGGGAAATGCTGGGGGCACTCGGGAGGGGGTGGTTTGCAATTTAAATACGGCGGTCAGCCACCTAAGGGGACACTTAAACGAAGACCCAGAGAGGGGACACTGCTAGGTATCTGGGGGACAAACGCAAAGACCCTGAAGTTGGACAGTGCCTGGTGGGTGCGTCCAGAAGTGCGGTGGGCCCAGCAGGGGCCGCGGGTGGAGGGGGAGGGGGAGACTCTCAGGGCCTTGCTGGTCGCTGGCTTGTTCCCGTGACACTAGAAGCTCTGAGCAGAGGAAAGACCCGGGCTTCCAAAGGGCACGGACAGGCCTGGACTGGGCCAAGCGCTCTGCCGGCTCACGAGTCACCTCTTGCACTGTGTCCCACTTCCTGAGTTTCCCTTCCCTCCTTCCTTTTTATTCAGCATGTTCTTCTTTATCATTTTAAACATGTAACACGTCTTCCAGCACATCTCACGACTCTAAAACCTCTAGTCTTTCTGGGTAAAGAAGCTGCGGTATATTTATGCCGTGGAACACCACTCAGCCGTAAAAAAGAATAAATAATGCCATTTGCAGCAACACGGATGGACCTAGAGATCACCATTTTAAGTGAAGCCAGAAAGAGAAAAATACCATATGAGATCGCTCATATGTGGACTCTTAAAAAAATGACACAAATGAACTTATTTACAAAACAGTTAGACTCACAGAGAAAACAAACTTACAGTTACGGGGCAGTGAAGGGGGTGGGAAGGGGTAAATTGGGAGTTCAAGATTTGCAGATACTAACTGATACATATAAAATAAATAAACAAGTTTTTTCTGTGTAGCACAGGGAATTGCATTCAATACCTTGTAATAAACTATAATGAAAAAGGAACGTATGTGTGCTCACGTATGACCGAAGCACTGTGCTGTGCACCAGACGCTGGCACAACATTGTACGCTGACCATACTACAACAAAAAAATAAAAATTTAAAAAAATAAAATAAAATCTGGAGATCTGTTCCTGCAGCTGGACTTCTCTGCGGAGTCTCACTCTCAGTGATCTGCTTCCTTCCTTGTACATTAGTGATCTTCCCCCTCTTGGAACTTATGTTTGATGGGATGAAATTATTTTTAAGGCAGGACAAAAAAAATTCAAACATAAAATTCCCTCTGCCCACCTGCGCTGTGCGTCTACAGCGCACACCAGCCAGGCCTTAGAAGACACAGGGGAGCCCGCTCAGGCTCACAGAGCAGTCTCCCCCGGCGCCAACGAGGCACCTCCTTAGGAGACACTCCTTTCTCAGTCCTGCAGGAGCCACGATGACCTGCTGCTCAGCTTGTACGTGCGACACAGGCTGCGTAAACTGTCAGCATGTCGTCTGCTGTGCAAGTCCTTCTCTGTTTAATTTCTCGCGGGAGGAACGGTCCTCAGAGCTTTCTGAAAGCCTGTCTCCCGGGTTGTCATCCGCAGGTTGGCTCAAATAAAACTCCCCATTTCTTTCTTAGATCGACTATCAATTAATTTTTCATTGGCGTGTTCCTCGGAACTTTAATCTGTTGGAATTCTTTGAGGCATGTATCAAAAACGGTTTTCTTTGGGGAAAAAATTTTTTTTGTACTGGTTGCTGCCAGTACCTAGAGCACTTGATGCCAAGATGATTTTCAACTAAGTTTCCAGCTTGGAATTTTTTAGGACAAGTGAGTAACGTGAACTGGGACTCAAACCCACATGCCTGCAGGCCTGTGGCTGGACATCCTGGAGGAGGTGTTTTCCTCCCTTCCTCCTTAACCCCCACGGCCAAGGCCGAGACAGGTGACACTGACACCTGCTCAGCCCCTGGCCGGGCTCCAGGCTCCTCTCCCGCCTGAGGCGCATTAAAACCAGGCAGAAGGCCCCGGACATTAACTGGCAGGCGCCCCGGGTGGGGGGTGCTCGCCCTCATGTCCCCCCTTATTTCTCTCGATTTACATTTTCTGGACATTTCTGGTCTACAGTTGTCTCTCTTCCTTCACGGTTACGTTTTTAAAAAATACGCCAGCACCCTCCGGGGTGTTCTGTGGCTTTTGTGACAGAGGGGCCTCTTAGTCTGCTCGACAGCTTTTAATCTAACCAGAGTGCAGAGGTCACCCTCACTCAGAATCCAGGAGACTGGGCTGTGAGCTCTGCCTCCCGCAGGTGTCCCCGGCTGGGGAGCAGAATGTACTAGAAGCCACACGGTCATACGGACGCAGCATTTGGGGAAAATGGAGTTTTACGGCTTCGCTTAGTGGATTATTTGTCTTCAATGACTTGGTAAATTATATTAAAATAGCAATTTAATAAATAAAAATTCCCTATCATAATGGAAAATGGGCTTCTGTGCCAATGAGGCTTCACCTGGACAATAAATACCATCCCTGGCTGCCCGGGGCTGATCGGGGGGCTGGGTCTCAGGAGTGATGCCCACACGTCCCAGGTACCACTCAGCATAGAGGGGTCTCTGTCACCTTCGGGACTGGGGACGTTCAATCAGAGCCTCCCTGACAGGTGCCGAGTCAGCCCAGTCCACCAGCCATTCCCAAAGAAGCCCAGAGGGAGCCGGCCCAGCACGCACAGCTCCCCAAGGGACGAGGATGAGACTTCGGGGAGCGCCCGGGCGGGAGTGCTGCCGGATGACCACAGGGCCGACCCACTGGCAGCACCGAGCCGGGGCCCCTTCAGAGCGGCTCTGGGGAGGGGTGACTCCCAGGCCAGGCCTCTGGCCGCTGCACGGAGCCCAGCTTCACATCCTTATCTCCAGTCTTCCCAGGCTCCAAACTCCTTGGGAGGGAAAGGTGCCCAGAGGGCCGGAAAGAGCCCTCAGCGGTAGCCTGAAAGCAGGCCCTCTGCCTGGGGGCGCCCGGCAGAGCAGGCACGGGGTTGGGCGGGACACAGGAGCCCCAGGGAGCCAGGGAGGGGCAGCGGGGGGGGGGGAAGTCCTGCCTCGGGCCTGGCTTCCAGGTCGTTCTGACCCCACCCCCAACCGCCTAGGGCAGGGACATTCCGGCTGCCCTGGCCCTGATCACACAGCTGTCAGCTCCGATGTCCCCCCAACCTGAGCCCCGCTCCTGCAGCCCGGGGCCCAGCCTCCCCGCAAGCCCCCCAGCCCCTCCCCACAACACCTGCCGTCTGGAAACAAGCGCATGGGGGCCTTAGCTGGGCCGCCCTCTCAATGGCTTTGCTCCCAGCTGCCGTCTAAGCCCCCAGGGGCTGGGGTCTGTCCGCATCTTAACACCCTGCCCAGTGCAGAGCAAGGCGAGGACTCCTGGCTTCCCGGGGTGGAGCTCCCCTCTCTGCAGCGACCTTGGCGTCGTCATCCTGTGTGAGGGACCGGAAGGAGCAGCGGTCTGCCCTGGAGCAGCCCACCGTCTGGGATGGGACCGAGGAAGGAAGCTTCAGGAAGCCTCCGGCACAGGGTTTTGGTACCGGGGCCCCGGCCCGACAAGTCCAGGGCCAGCACCTGCGCCTCCAGGTGCCCAGGGCTTCTCCCACTGTGGTCAGAGGGGTGCTCGCCCTGGGGATGTGCTTTCTTAGAACCACCTGCCTTGTTCTCACAGGAAGTCCCAGCCTGAACTCAGGGCACAGCTGTCTGCACAGACATCCTGTCACCACGGCCGCATCACCCCCGTCAGTAAAGGTGATGGGTAACGGGGGGCTCCCAGGACGGCCAGGTCGCGCCGATGAGCCGCACCTGCTCCCCACCCCCTCGAGACATGGAGCTTTGGAGACATGGTAGTATCTAGATGCTGGCATCCTGGGACCAGGACAGTTCTCCCCCGAACAGAGCATCTCCCACAGCAGAGTATAAGGAGACGTGCCCCAGTGTCGGAGGGAGCGCTGCTCGTCAGAATCCTGGGACAGCTCAGTGCCCTTCACCAGGAGACCGGACACGGGTCCGCCTGCTCACACAGTCTAGAACTATAAAGGGTGAAAACAGATGAAATACAGCTACAACTGTAACGCTGAACAAAGAGGCAGGCTGCAGAAGAATATGCAAGTGCGGTGCGTTTATGAGAAGTTTCAGAACAGTCATTAGGGTCACACATACTGTTTACTGATGTATGTACGGGGTGAAAATACGAAAGCACGTTTAGACACTGTAAAAACCAAGTTCAAGGTCGCGGTTACTTCTGAAAAGAAGGAAGGAAGCTTCCATGATAATGTCAAATTCAATTTTTAAATAATAAAGAATCTGAAACAAAAAGGAAAAAAGAACCTTCAGATGCGACAAGCCTGGGTATGGTGAGCACGCAAGCGTTCTGACTGTCCACACTTTGCTGTGTACTTAAGACTTTGCATAATTAAAATAAAAGAAAAAGAGGACTCAT